TTGGGTAGCAATAGATACAGTGCAATTTTAAAGCAACAAGGTAGGAAACTATGAAGATGAAATTAGGTACTTTTTTGTTTTGTTTTTGAATGACGCAAAAGTTGGACAGCTTTTCAATTCGTTAGGGAGTGAGTTCCATAGACTGGGTCTCTTTTATTTGCATAGAGTGTTTACACAGAATAAGTTTGACTTTGGGGGTATCAAAGAGATATTTATTTCTGGTGTGGTGATAATGGGTCCTATTACATCTGTCCAGGGAGAGTTTCAGAGCAGGATTTGCATTTAAGAAGAGGGTTTTGTAAATGTAGTTGACACAAGAGAATTTATGGAGTGAGATTATGTTTAGCATGTTTAGGGAGTTAAACAAGGGGGGCTGAGTGTTGTCTGAAAGCAGAATTTGTTATTATTCTGATAGCAGATTTTTGCTGGGTGATGATGGACTTGAGGTGGTTTGCAGTGGTTGAACCCCATGCACATATACCATAGTTGAGATAGGGATAGATTAGTGCATAATATAGTGAGATGAGAGCAGAGTTAGGTACATAATATCTGATTTTGGAGAGTATACCAACTGTTTTAGAGACTTCCTTAGTTATGTTTTGTATGTGGGTGCTGAAGTTGAGTCTCTTGTCTAGGAATAAGCCAAGAAACTTTCCATCACTTTTACTACTAATGTTAACATTGTCTATCTGAAGCTGAATTGCATTTGTTGATTTGTTTCCAAATAAGATGTAGTAGGTCTTTTCTATGTTAAGTGTTAGTTTGTTGTTAAGTGTTAGTTTGTTGGTTGACATCCATAAGTGAACTTTTTTTTAGTTCATTATTAACAACATTATTTAGTGTATGTGGGTTGGGGTTAGAGTAGATGAGGGTAGTATCATCAGCAAACAATATAGGTTTCAGAATGTTGGTGACATTAGGCAGATCATTGATGTATATAAGAAATAGGAGAGGCCCCAAGATGCTGCCCTGTGGCCCTCCAACGGTTATTGGTAGAGTGGAAGAGGTTGTATCATTGATGGCTACACATTGCATGGTGTCTATCATTTAGATAGGATTGGATATAGTCCAGGGCATGGCCTCAGATTCCATAATGATGGAGTTTACGTAAGAGGTAGTTGTGATTAACAGTATCAAAGGCCTTTCTCAGGTCAATGAAGAGTCCAATCGGAAACTTATTTTTGTCAAGGGCTGAGTAAATTATATCAAGGAGACTAATAATTGCATCGTTGGTACTCTTTTGGGAGCGGAAGCCAAACTGACAGGGGCTAAGAATGTCGAATTTTACGAGATAGGAGTAGAGCTGTTTGTAGATAATTTTTTCAACAATTTTTGATAGTATGGGTAGGTTTGATATTGGTCTATAATTGTTTATGTCTGCCGGATTACCTCCTTTATGAACTGGCGTTACTCTTGCTTTTTTAAGGATATCAGGGAAGGTGTGACACTATAGATTTGTTGAACAGTAGAGCTATGGGTGGGGCAAGGGCATGGGAGGTGCTCTTGTATACAATGGATGGGATTTCACTGATGTTCCCAGCTTTGGTTTTTAGTGAGTGTATGATGGACACATCTGTCGGGCTGATTGGTGAAAGGAGAAGAGAGTGTGGATAGCTGCCTGAGAGATATGTGTCTGGGTCTGTGGGATTTTTCTGGTAAGATTAGCACCAACCGATGAAAAGAAGCTATTAAATTCATTTGCCATTTCTAAATCAGTTGACGGTGTATAGCCATCCTTAGAGAGTGTTATTTGGTTGTGGGAGTGTTGTTTAGTTCCTAGGATATTAGAGATGGTATTCCATGTGCTTTTCATGTTGCCTTTTGCTTCTTTGAATCTAGTCTAATAATATGAAAGTTTAGCTTTTCTTATGATACTGGTAAGCACTGATGAGTACCTCTTAACTACTTCCTTTGTAACTAGGCTAATCCTAAATTTCTTTTCATATTCATATTTTTTGTTCATTGATTTGAATATGCCACTTGTGAGCCACAGGTTGTTTATTCTTGTCAGTTATTTGTTTGGTAAGGAGAGGACAATGAGTGTTGTAGAGGGTTTAGAGGCTTAGAGTTTTGTAGAGAAAGATGTTAGTTAATGAGTTTATATCCTGTGTATTATTGAATTCAGATTCCCAGTTAATATTGTGAAGTGCATCTGTAAGATTGCCTAAATCTGATTCACTGTGTAGCCTAAATGAGAGTTTCTTGCTTTTTGATGGTGTTATGCTCATGCTTGCTATGAGGAAGGTAGGATAGTGGTCAGTTGTTCTGTTATAGATTACCCCAGATGTAAAGGGAGCTGTTATATTACTCCATAAGTGATCCAAGGTAGTGGCAGATGTTTGAGCGACTCGGGTGGTTTTTGTGATTGTGGGGATTAGCATACAGAAGTTCATGCTGTTACGGAAATAGTCAACTTGAGGGTTGTTTTGAAGACCCAGGTCAATATTGAAATCACCTCATAGAATGATGTGATTTTTGTTGAGATTATTTATAAGATTCCTTACGTTATCTGAGAATAAAGCTATGTTGGTATTGAGAAATCTATAGATGGCACCGATAGTCAAGGAGGATTTAAGGGATTTACTGGAGAACTTGGCAAAGGTATATTCACAATAGTCATCTCTATCACTTATGACACTATTGCAGATGAAGGTAACTTTGTAATATATTGCTGTGCCACCTCCTTTTTTTATTAGGCCTGCAGTTATGAATGGCTTTATAACCAGCTAAGTTATAGAGTTGGGTATAGTCTTTACTTAACCAGGTTTCTGTTAAAATAATGAAAGATCATTTATTACCTAGTGCTGTGAGTAGTGCATTTATATCATCAAAATGTTTACCAAGTGATCTAACATTTTGGTTGTAAACTGATAAGCAGGTGCTATTTAGGAATTTTTTTTTGCAAGATTTGCTGTGTAATACCTGCAATAATGATGATCAATGTGCTGATTAGTGTGGTTATGAGACAGAAGATTTCGATCAGGATCAATATCAGTATGCATGTAGATGCAATGGGGTCACGATACAATAAAAAAAGCAATTACAGGAACAGCTAAATACTAAATCATCTGTAAATAGAAAGTAATTATAGCAAAAGGCAACAATAAATGTAAGTACACAAAAAATAGAAACAATTAGAAGTGGAGTGAAGATCACCGTAGATAGCCAGGAAGGATACATTAGTTAGGTTAAGAGAGAAGACAAAAAATCAGTAGAATGACAAGATTGATATATAGCAAATATACAAGAAGGTATATTAGGTTTATGAAATTATATTTCATTGCTGTTTTACATTCTTGTACAGCCACTAGCACTCATAGCATTTCGGGCAAGTCATTAATCCTAGTTATTTCCCTGGAATATGACCCGACAAATCGTTTAACAACCCGGTGCCCTATGCAGACGAGGAGTCACAATAACGTGGCTGAAATATGTTGACCAAATCACACACTCCTAGTGTGTGGTTTAGTCAACCAGGTACCCATTCACTGTTCGGTGAACAGAGGCTACAGTTAAGGATTGGCGCCCACTCAATCCTCCCCGGCCAGGATATGAACCCAGGCCAAAGCTCCGAGCGAGTGCTTTACCACTGCACCATGGGGATTGTGAACCTGTTGACTAAATGAGCACTCCAACTGTATATTCATAAAGCGAATCTGTTGACTAAATGAGCACTCCAACTGTATATTCCTGAAATTACCTGAGGGTAATTTCAGTCCTCGATGAGGACTGGAAGCCGGCGGCTTGTTGAAAGTCCCCCCCCCCTCTAATTCTGTGAGCAAGAGCTGCAACACATCACTACTGTATCTGCTAATGTCCATCAGGCCCGGCTTTAAACCAATTTAACAAATTACACCCAGTTGGGTCCTGCACCCAAGGGGGGTCCCACCTTAGGGTAATATATATACTCTTTGTCAAGTAACATTGCCTTCTAAGAGAGCTAAACCTGTACGGTATAAAGGCCCATCACAAACCAACATGAACTTGCAAGGTAATATTGTGATTTGTGTGTGTGTGTATTGCAAGGTAATGTTTATGGGAACATTACCGAGACAAGGGGCCCCTGGTAGTAGTTGGCTTTGTTCTCGACGCACAGTCGAGAATTCCGGTTCGAATCCCGGGCGGGACAGAAATGGTTGGGCACATTTCCTTTCTCCTACAGCATTAGGTGAAACCTAATACCTCTGTTCACCTAGCTTTAAGTAGGTATTCAGGAGTTAATTAGCTTGTTGTGGAGTTGCATCCTGGGCGGGGTCAGCAATTCTGCTTTGGAGGAGGGACCTTTATAAGAACCTAATGTGTATGAATACACTCTGGCTTCCTGTCCCCCGACACAGTGAATTATTATTAATTATATCTAGTGAATTCTGTATGACAGAATATAAGTAATTATCAAAAGAAGGTGCCAAGCCAGGGAGAATATGTAGCAACAGAATATAGACACGAGTCAGACAATATGCTTTATTTGTTATCAATTCGTTGATGAATGTTACTTTTAATATTATTTATTTATTTTACTCTAAATTCATTATGCACCTCTCAGGGATTCTCTCACCACCAGGTCTTCCTTAATTCATAAGACCTTAATACCCACTTTGTATGCAAACCTAGAAAATGTAAGGTACCCCTTTTTATCCGTATACAGGGTTCCCATTTTCTGGACCTTTTTTATTTACAGTATTTGTATTTTTACACAGGTGGGTACAGGAACAGACAACTTCTGACTCTCAGTCACACTTTCCATCTGGCTTTTTTGTTAAAAGTGCTTGTGCTCCACTTTTACACCTTGAATTTTTTATTTTTACTGCCAGCGGAAGCTAGTTTATTGTGCACCCCCCATATTTATCCAGTAAACAGTAGTACAACAGGATTACAGCGAGCACGTCTTAATCAGACCTGAGCAGATATTGTACATTGACTTTTACAATTTATCTGCAAACCTTATCATTAATTACTGTATAATGTAAGCTAGTAACACCCTTCTTGCACTGCACCTCAAATTCAAATTGAAAAACTTTATTCATAAGCTGTTGTACATTTATAACTGAGATTACACAAAATTACAAGACATTATTTACATAAGAGAAAGTCATAATAATAAGCACGATACCTCACCATTATAATTACATACTGTATAATCTAGTTTTAGTTTACCATTATACATTTGAGGTAAGTCATTTTATAATAAAATAATTTTCAAATACTGGATATTACAGGATAATTATTAGGAGCTGCTGTTTATGATTCTTGTCTACACAGTATATTCATTACAGTACTTTAATTTATTTACTAGAAGCAAACTATGGATACAATGCACAAATTTCAGTTATCTAATTATTTATAATAAAATTATTTGTCATTTCAGGCAATATACATTTAGATATATATGGTATCTATAAATGTTTTATCACGCAGTATAAAATGAAGGTGAAGTTATACCCAATTTATGTGTAAGTGTAATAAAAACAAATTTTCAGATGTGATCTACACCCTTTCTCAAGGTATTGTATACTGTATAATGTTTTCACAATGTATACATACTGTATAGAATGAGAACACTGCATACAGTACCTTGAGATAGGATGTAGGTTACATCCCAAAAATTTGTTTTTTAATACAGAAATTAAATTATACAGTACAAATTACATATACAGTACTGTATTGGGTCTTTCCTTCGCCTTCATTCATGCACTATGGCATTGTAGTAAGTTTCTCTGCAGTATAAAATGTAATGCACTAGTGTGTGGTCTTGTCTATGTCTACACACTTCACATTTCACGTCATCTAATGCCTCATGTAAGCTGAACTCCAAAGATTACTTAGAACCAAGTTATATTTAAGCTGTGACAACATCTACCAGTCTCCTGATTTTGTTACTTAATCCAACACGAGCGTTTTGTTGCACACCTTTCACGGTGATGGCCTGGCCTCGTGATTACTACTTCCTTGGAAATATCAATTCATAACACCACATATGATTTTGGATGTTTGATGGTATAGATATGGAGTGTTTTTGTGAAAATTGTAATATTGATACAGAACATGCAAAGTATTATGCCGACAAGACAAAGTTACCTTAAACTGCTTTGCTTTCAAATTATTTATATGGAAATGCTTGAAGCATTCTTACATGCTTCTACATTAAGCAGCAGTAAATGTTTTGTTTGTATATATTAACACAATAGGAGTAATGTACACCGAGTCTTGGGGCACTGATGAGGGGTGGTGGTGGTTCTCAATAATACATTCTGGTATATGACTTGAATAACTGAGTATAATTTCATTACATCCTGTTTTCTTTTCTCTATATTATTATTTCCTCCCTTGATGATTTGCCCCACCCTGTGGAAATGGGGTAATGATGAATGCCTGACATATACATTTACCAACTGTATAATCTCTTCCCATTGCTATGTTTAGTCACAGTCAAGTTAAAATTTTCAGCCAACAAATAAAAACAAAATGCAAAAGTGGAAATACAAAAAAACATTCTCAAACCTCTCATATTTATTGATCAACAAATCATATGGAGACGTCTCTGTCCTGGCTATTCCAGTCGCAATATACCATGTAGTATTATTTATGTAATCAATATTTATGAAAGCACTCATGTTCTGAATGGACCCTCTTAAACATTTTACACACTCTTACAAAAACTGGTTAATAACCAACTATCAGTCTTAAGTGCTTAAAAATATCAGGTACTGAATGACACTACATGGCAGAATAATATTCTGAACCTAGTACTCTAATGTGAGGCAGAACATCTGGTAATAAGGCTCTGAACTGTAAGAGTTACAGTTTTGATGTGAACCAAAGATAAAGGGGCACAGAGCTGTATAGTCTTATTAAATGAGAAATAAAAGTTTAACATAGTAGTGAGACTAGACCACAAAATCTATAGACATGAGAGGCTAAGCATCATATCAAACTTATACACATTGTATCTTAATGCTTCATATTTTACAAGACACTAGACACTGTTCACTGCTCATTAACTGGTCACATTCATGAACTAATAAATAAATAGTCTTTAATCTAAATTTTTGTAATTGAATAAAATAGGCTGGTTCTTTAATTCTACATATATAATATGGTACAATTTTAATTTCTCTCTCCTTGCACCCACTCATTAATGAACAGATCACAAATGTATATTTTGTCTTTTTATCACAACAGAATGAATTGATTTCATTTGTCCCAATTCTGAACCTAGAGTATCACAAGAGGGAAGAGATTCCTCACTGGTCCCCAAACATCTGAATCTTGATCCGAGTCGTCTACAAGGTCGTCATCGCTATGGCCGTCATTTCTGTAAAATAATATAGTGTGTATAAACAAAGCAATGAGTGATGAGTACCTCAGGTGTACATCTCTCTGCCCCTATACTTGCCTCAGCCCCCATGTACAGAACAACTACCCATGTACTCAATCCTCCAGCTGAACGGCCGAGCGAACAGCACGCTGGACTTGTAATCCTGTGGTCCCGGGTTTGATCCCGGGCGCCGGCGAGAAACAATGGGCAGAGTTTCTTTCACCCTATGCCCTTGTTACCTAGCAGTAAAATAGGTACCTGGGTGTTAGTCAGCTATCACGGGCTGCTTCCTGGGGGTGGAGGCCTGGTCGAGAACCGGGCCGCGGGGACACTAAAGCCCCCGAAATCATCTCAAAGATAACCTCAAGAATCAAGAACAAACTGAGTGTTGATATCTGATTAGCATAAGTACTGTACCACATTATCTGAATATCCTTCCATTCATTTTCTGCTCACTCTTCTATTTAACTACAATATGCAGTATAACTTTACATATTACTGCATTGAATTATCTAAATAACAAATTCTGTAATTAATCTCCTATATGATCTCTCTAATAATAAGCTTTTTGGTTAGTCTGAGTGTAAATAAAGACACAAAATCATATCGCTTAAGTTTCTGAAGCAAAATTAATAAAATGATTCAAATAGCAAATATGAACTATATTTAGTCTTTCTGGGTTTTTGCCCTTCAGCAACTCATCTCGGCTTACACCACTAGACTGTTTAGGAGACAGACATCTGACAAGCCTGCTGGCGTCAATCTCAGCACACCTATTTGGCACAAATCTAATTGGACCTAAAAAAGGCTTTCGACAGAGTTCCACACAAGAGGTTGTTCTGGAAGCTGGAAAATATTGGAGGGGTGACAGGTAAACTTCTAACATGGATGAAAAATTTTCTGATTGATAGAAAAATAAGGGCAGTAATCAGAGGCAATGTATCGGACTGGAGAAACGTCACAAGTGGAGTACCACAGGGTTCAGTTCTTGCACCGGTGATGTTCATTGTCTACATAAATGATCTACCAGATGGTATACAGAATTATATGAACATGTTTGCTGATGATGCTAAGATAATAGGAAGGATAAGAAACTTAGATGATTGTCATGCCGTCAAGAAGACCTGGACAAAATAAGTATATTGAGCACCACTTGGCAAATGGAATTTAATGTGAATAAATGCCATGTTACGGAATGTGGAATAGGAGAACATAGACCACCACACAACCTATAAATTATGTGAGAAATCTTTAAAGAATTCTGATAAAGAATGAGATCTAGGGGTGGTTCTATATAGAAAACTATCGACTGAGGGCCACATAAAGAACGTTGTGCGAGGAGCCTATGTTACGCTTTCTAATTTCAAAATTGCTTTTAAATACATGGATGGCAAAATACTAAAGAATTTTATTCATGACTTTTGTTAAGCCAAAGCTAGAATATGCAGTGGTTGTGTGGTGCCGATATCTTAGGAAGCACATCAACTTGAAAAGGTGCATAGACATGCTACTAAGTGGCTCCCAGAACTGAAGGTCAAGAGCTACGAGGAGAGGTTAGAGGCATTAAATATGCCAAAACTAGAAGACAGAAGAAAAAGAGGTGATATGATCACTACTTATAAAATAGTAACAGGAATTGACAAATTTGATAGGGAAGATTTCCTGAGACCTGGAACTTCAAGAACAAGAGGTCATAGATTTAAACTAACTAAACAAAGATGCCAAAGAAATATAAGAAAATTCACTTTCGCAAACAGAGTGGTAGACAGTTGGAACAAGTTAAGTGAGAAGGTGGTGGAGGCCAAAACCGTCAGTAGTTTCAGAGCGTTATACGATAAAGAGTGCTGGGAAGACGGGACACCACAAGCGTAGCTCTCATCCTGTAACCATACTTAGGTAGTTACCAGAGTCAAGCAACATCTTCACCCCCCTCCCTCCTTGCAACTGAAGACCTCATCTGGATCACAGCTCAACCTACTACTGAAATGAATCACCCAAGTAAAGAAACAATATAAAACTAAATACCATATGAAAATAACTTACCTGGCTCTGCGAGGTTTATAAACTATCTGAATATCATAGTTCTCCAACTCTGTCTCCTTCAGGAATGCATTTAACTCATCTGTTGAAATGTTCCACCCACCTGAAAAAAAAAAATAACAAATAAAAAATTGATAAGAGCGGCATCTCCACTGCAGCAACCAAATGATCTGTGTCACAAAATACAAATTGAGGAGCTGTTGAATATATTAACATTTTGGAACTGCTTGAGTCAAGATGTAATATGGATTACTGTAATGAATGCAAAATTGATGTTGAGCCACACCCTCATAATAAAAACATATCTTAAGGGAAGCTGTTATACAGTACTTGTATAACCTTTGAAAATTTGTGATCATGTGTGACAATTTTTAATTACTATTTTTACAAAATCAAAATCTGCCTCTATCAAATGCTTTAGTTCACAAATGGCTGCAGTTAACAACTTCTTAGTCAAGTTTATAAATTACTTCCCAAAAGCATATATTGTTTTCCCAATGTTTTGTTACTGTTTTGACTGCCTTATACAGGTACTTATACTTTAAATCCCTATCTTGGTTAACATTAACACTTTCGCTCGGGGATGACGCAGCATTGCGTCATCCGTTTACTGGCGGTAATGCCGGGGATGACGCAGCATTGCGTCATCCACTTTAAAAATTCGCCAAAAATCAGGTTTTTTTCCGATTTTTTTGGGACTGGTTTTAAAATGTGCGCCGATGTCTTCCCATTTTCTTTGTTGAGCCTCGTGGCCCTCAGGCGGCTTGGCACATGCCGTGGGCCCATTGTCTTTGCTCCACTGTTGTGACCAATGTCGCCTCCCCTCGCATCTCAAACGTGTGAACATTTCGGCTATTTCCCGTGGCTATATTTCTTACTGCGGCTTTAGAAACTATCTACGCTTACTCCACGATGGATAGTAATCATGAACAAGGCCCTTCCAGGAAGAAAATTGCGAAAGAAAGGCTTGAAAAGGGTGGGAATTGGGAGTGTAGCAGGAAGGCCTCTGAGCACTCACTCACGGCTAACGCGTGGCCCGTCTTCAACTCGTCGGCGGTTGGAGCGTGACCAGGTTTTTTTTTTTATATGCTAATGTTCCTCTAGAGAATTTTATTACGAACCCATTGAGACCAAATTGAAAGACCTAGGACAAAAATTGAGGTGACCAGAGTGAAAATAGTGAAAACATTTTATCACGTTTGCGCGCTCCCGGGTAACTCGTTCGCACTTTCTCTGTTTGCTGCGGGTAATTAGCTGGGCTTTTGGAGTTTATATGCATTTAGTGTTGTAGAGAATTTTATTGCGAACACAATGATACCAAATTTAATCTCGTAGAAGGAGAATTGAGGTGACAAAGTTGAAGAGAGTATACACTTTTCGAAATTAACGCGCGCTTCCGTGACACGCTGGGGCCCATATCGCCCTGTCGAGGGGTGGCGCGCGGGGTGAGCGAAAGTGTTAAAGTGAACTTATTTTCAATGTTGAGATTTAAGCCATGGGTCAGAAGCTGGAACTAATTAGGTAATTCAGCATTCTGTTCCTCCCGGAACACAATCTGAAAATTATTGTATATCAGGGTCCTCAATTATGGCTGGAAGCACAGAGATGAACATAGTGAAGGAATGGTGATCAACTGTCCAACTCTGCCCTGGATTTGTTGCCAGATCCTCTTGCTCGTCTGGCAAGCATACTAAGCACTATACCACACAGGTGGTAACTAGATGAGTACACAGTGCTCCTACCTTGAGGTTACCTTGAGGTGCTTCTGGGGCTTAGTGTCCCCATGGCCCGGTCGTCAACCAGGCCTCCTAGAAGCATCCTAAAATGGCTCCTAGAAGCCATTCTAACTACAGTATAGAGTTCAACAGTTCTCTTGCATCACAAATTTAACAGATTTCCTTATTTGCTTAAGATATTGTTGTAAAACACTATAATAAGAGTTTAATGCTAAAATCAAGATTCCTTGTAAAAAAAAAAAAAAAAAATCCTGATATTCAGAATGTTTTAGTTTTGAATGTCATATTGCAACCAATATAGAAGCACAGAGTGTTGAGTTGTTAAAATTACAAACCTAAATCCTGGAGCTGTCTCAGTTTTGGGCAATGCTTGACCAACATTCTGGCTGACGTTACGGTGAGCTTTGGGGCTCGACTCACATCAAATTCCCTTAATTTCTCCAAACTTTTATTTCGCATTAGTTGGTCCACTCGGTCATCACTCATCTGTGAAGAATATAGTAGTTTATTGTTTCATGATCTTTCTCATACCTTGAGGAACCTACAATTTTCTTATATCCCACTGGCTATTTTACTTTTACCCCTAACTTTTATACACACACTGGTCTTATTTACTTTTTAGACTCTTTTTATTTTGTGATTCTCTTCTTAATCATGTAAAAAATATTAAAGTACTTCATATGCACTCCACACTGGTACAGTACGTACATACAACTGAACGCCAACTCCACCACAACCTTTCATCATCATCATCATCATCATCATCATCATCATCATCATCATCAGTACCACGTTTACCACATTCAACGTCCAAGAGGCATCAGCCCGAATGAAATAAAGCAAATAGTAAAAAAAAAAAAGCGTTGAATGTAATGAAACGCCGTTTTCTGGGTGAGACCCGGAAGCTCCCCCGAGCTTATCCAGGCTGATAGGCTAATGTCAGACTTTGGCATCAGTCATGTGTATGGAGTTCTATGGGCCTACCGGGAACCACGAGCCAGAACCTGGCCTGCTCAGAAGAGGCAAGGGGAGCAATGGCCTATAGAAACCCCCGTGTGATTGGAAACATTCTATGTCTGCCATTAACCGGGTCAGGCACCGAGATAGGCAAGCGTCCCAAAACAAACCCCTATTCTGGTGAAAATTGCTACCACAAGCTGAACAAGTGAATAGAACTCCCCTAAAAGAAACGAGCAAACGATCATGACGTCACACGTCACCGCGCTGCTGTGTGCACAGTTTCTCCTGCCCCGGGAGGGGGAAGGGGGAGCCCCAGACCTACCGCGCCGGCTATCCACCATCAGTTCTGAGGCTGGATGTCATAAAATGCAAAAAAAAAACGCTGACTGGAGGGAGGGAGGGAGCCACCGGGTCTCACCCAGAAAATGGCGTTTCATTACATTCAACGCTGGTTTTCTGGGGGGGAGCCCCTTCGGCTCCCCGGAGCTAACTACTCACAGATGAAACAAGAGGGACGTACCTGGGAGGTACGCCGCACACTCCCCAACTCAAAGTCGAGACAACTGGCTGCAACCGCCAACCCAAGGCAACACATGCCCGAATGGGCCCGAGAACAACACAAGATATCGAGCAGCCAGGCCTCTGTACGAACGCCAAAAGCCCCGTGCCGAATGTCAGCTAGGACATGCCACCAAGACGGCAGCAAGAGCAGCGAATCTACAAATGCCATGGGCACGGAATAGAACACAGGCAGGCCAGCCGCAATAACACGGCGGACAACCTGGGCGACCTTCACCCGCGAACAAGGAAGAGCGAAACTGGAGCAACCCAAAAAGCGTCCCAGACACAGAAGCCGTGGCGCGCAAATAAAAGGGAAGGGCCACAACTGGACATAAAACACTATGCACCCCCGGCCCGACCAACCAAGCACCAACAAACCAAGGAGCCCTCCAGAAAGCAGCAGTCTCATTCCGTGCCAGAAAAGAGGGAGATGGCTGCAACCGAACGAACCAATCGCCACGACCAAAGGAGAAGAAACCCCTGCGCCGGAGGAGAGCAAGAAGCTCAGCGACCCGACCTCGAGAGGCAAATGCCAACAGGAAGAGAGCCTTCAAGAAACAAACCCAAACCGAAGGGGTTACAACCAACTGAGGAGAAGAAAGAGCATGCTGTCCAGAGACCAGGATGGCTCAGGTGGCGCATGAGCAGGCTGGAGGTGAAACAATGCACGAGAGAGCTTACGAATGGCGCAGATATAACACCAAGACCGAAAGAAAGCCGAAGCGGCTCCGCCAGTGCCGCACGAAACGAGGAGACAGTATGCGACAAGATGACGGCCCTGAACCCCCACCAGACATTAAGGCATCCCAGACACTGCCTTAATCGACTGAGCTACGACAGGGTAAAAGGGTTGAAACCGAAGTTCTACTGAACTTACTGGATCCTGTAGCCTCTCCGAGGCACAAACCAGGCTTTTACACAACCCCCCCTGCATCCGAGCTATGTCAATAGGCCATTCTACTTCAGTAGTTCAGTTCTAAGTTCTAAGTTCAGTAGAACTTCGGTTTCAACCCTTTTAACCCTGTCGTAGCTCAGTCGATTAAGGCAGTGTCTGGGATGCTCCCAGACGCAGGTTCGAATCCTCGTCACTGCCCTTGTGGATTTGTTCATTTGATGCATCACGTTAGTGTGATCTCTGTGTGCTGTGACTTGTATTTTTGTCTATATCTGATATGAGAATAAGAAAAAGCAGTGGTGCAAGGACTGTACCCTGAGGTACAGAGCTTTTAACTGCACTTGGACTCGATTTTATATGATTGACTGTTACTCATTGAGTCCTGTTGACAGAAAACTGAGTATCCAGCGTCCTACTTTACCGGTTATTCCCATTGATCTCATTTTGTGTGTTATCCCTCCATGGTCACATTTATCGAAAGCTTTTGCGAAGTCCGTGTATATCACATCAGCCAAAATTAGAAGACAAGAAAAAAGAGGTGATATGATCACTTCATACAAAATAGTAACAGAATTGATAAAATTGATAGGGAAGATTTCCTGAGACCTGGAACTTCAAGAATAAGAGGTCATAGATTTAAACTAAATAAACAAAGATGCCAAAGAAATATAAGAAAATTCACTTTCACAAACAGAGTGGTAGATGGTTGGAACAAGTGAGAAAGTGGTGGAGGGCAAAACTGTTAGTAGTTTCAAAGCATTATACAGTATGACAAAGAGTGCTGGGAAGACGAGACACCACGAGCGAAGCTCTCAACCTGTAACTACACTTAGGTAATTACCAGTTGACTGACAGTTGAGAGGCTGGACCAAAGAGCTGAAGCTCAACCTCTGTAAGCACAACCAGGCGAGTACATCCTCTACTGATTGCATACAACATATTTGCAGCATTTGAATTCAATTTAATTACACTCCAGCCATTCCATACATAATATTCTCTAGAGGTCCTCTTTTTTTTCACTATCATATGCTTCTCATAGTCCATAACTGGATTATACACCTTAAACCTTTCTCTAATGCTTTTGCTATAAGCTGCCTCAATGTAAATATCTGATCCACACAACCTCTTCCACAACCAAGTCATCCTTGTTCATTGCTGATAGCTTTTCCTATACTTTACTTATCCATCTCATTTGTTCAAATGACAATTTTGCAACTACATGATCAAGAAAACATCAAATACCATGTGGAGATCAGTGAAATTCCAAGCACATGATACACAAGAAACTTAGATTGCTCACTAAAGAATTACTGAACAACACTATACAGTATACTGTATCAAAATTAACACAAAACATGTTAATGATATGGGTACCTTTAATATTTTAAGAATACAGAACATACTTACATCACAGAGGCAGTCTATTTCCAATCTTGTTAAACTCCTTGCATTATTGAGAATTATGTCTGTATATGGAGCAGGTAAGTGACATTTTATCTTGACAACTTGCAATTTGATAAGGGCTGTTTGTCGGAAATTCCCCACTGCCTGTCAAAAGATAAGATGTGGTTAAAATACTCATTAACACTGCTTAAAAAGTATATCTATGGTTTTTAAATTTAGCCAAAGGATGAAGTACAGCGGTACTGTACTGGTACATTACAGGTTTCATTCTCGACTCACAAACAGGGATCCTGGGTTTGATTCCCGAGTAGTTCAGAAATTGTGGGGGCACATTTCCTTTCATCTAATGCCTCTGCTCACCTAGCAGTAAATAGGTACCTGGGAATCAGGCAACTGTTGTGGGGTTGCAGCCTAGGAAGGGTCGGTAGTTCAACCTTGGAGGACCTCGATGCAAGCCTACCATATTTATATATACACAGGCTTCCTGTCCCTGACAAAATTAATTAAATACTGAGGCCATAAATACCTAGTGTTTCTTCCATACTGCCGTTACATAGATTGCACAGCTATTATCTTACAGTCACAGTATGGTTCATAAGGGATGATACTGCTCATAGCACTCAACTTATTTCACTTTAATCTTACTAAGATATACTCTAAGATGGGTTGGAAATATGATTTGATCTAGTCAAATGTCTCCTCAAACAGGCAACTCATACATCTTCACTTTCTTTCCCTTACCAAGTCCAATGCAGCACAATGGTAAGTCACTAAATTTTGAACAACTGCAGTACACGGTTATATTACATACCTCATATGGAGCAGAGCAATCCTCTCCTTCCATGGTGAGATACTTGAGGTTGGTGCAGGTGTGGAAAACCACTGGAACGTCTAACCCTCGACATTTAACCGTTAAAGCTGTCAGCTGCTGGCCCACAGCTTGCACTGCACCCGACACTGATCTTGAAGCAACGTTAACCAGGCTCAGGTGCTACAAGAAAAAAGGCTTTTAGAAAACTCTTCTCACAACTAGCATTTAGAATATTTATAAAAAGGTTATTGTTATTTTGCACTTTCTAACTTAAAAAAGTTTGAACCATGTTTTGAGCATCTCTATACAAAATGTTAGTAGATTATCAGTATTATAATGATACTGATTTTTGGTCATAGTAGAAATAACATAAGAACATAATGATAAATGAAACTGCAGAAGACCCATTGGCCCATATGAGACAGCATTTACTACCCAAATAAGCATATAAACTTGTCATATCATTTCTACAATTATCACAACTGTACTGAATCATGTGAAGTTTCTGGGCCTAAATTCAAGCACAGGGGTAGAGCCTGTGGTTGGTAAGTCTTCCACACAAAACCCTAGCCACTCCCTAAACTGACGCTGGATGGGAACATGTCAGTATGAATCCCTCGCATCCAAGGAAATGAACAAGGACTGGCTCAAAATCACCAGGTGTAAAGAATTACAACCGGGAATTTCACTGAATTCACACGGATCCTGCAGCCTCTCTGAGACACAAATCAGGGTTTTACACAATTCCCCAATGCACTCAGGGGAACAGCCAACAAGCTGTTTTACCTCTTCGCCCTCACTTCATTACACAGAACAGCTTGTTGGCAGAGCCCGAGTGCATGGAGGAATTGTGTAAAACCCTGATTTGTGTCTCGGAGAGGCTGCAGGATCCGTGTGAATTCAGTGGAATTCCCAGTTGCAATTCTTTTGACCATGTCGTGGCCTAGTCAACTATCACCAGGTGAACCTGAGACACTGTGGTCATCTTGAAAATTGGACAAGGAATATGAGTCCAGAATGAAACAAGGCCCCAGAGTCTCCTGCATAAGAAGTTAAAAAATGTACACCAACTGAAGGGAATATGTCACTGTGTTAACGACCTTGCCTAACAAGGTGAGACTAACACTGATGAGTATATGAATAGATGGCTGAGCATGAACTTGGAATATCCAATGAGGAAGGAAGAATCCAGCACACAAAAGACTCTGGGAAACTAAGTAAGAAAAATTCAGGCATTCCAGGATTAAGCCCACCTGAGGATCTCCAGACTGTCCCCAGCTACAGGCGTAACTGGAGTCTACCACGCAAGGGCTGACAGGAGGCACCCCCTTCAGCTACAAACTTGGGAACCCATTGACACTACCATGGTGTCAAAGACGAAGGGTGAGAGTAGCCACACCAGCACCAGAACCCAATCCTCAGCCAGGAGTGTGAGACGAATGGAACCACAAAATGACGAATGGAACCACAAATGGCCTGAAGCCAGAGCCGAAACACCCAATTTAAGTCGACACACTTGGTGAAACAGCAACACACACCAGCTGCCTACAACACTCAGTTCACCTTCCTTGCCAGGAAAAAGGAGGGGGGAGAGAGAGAACATGAAGGCAAATAGTAAAGAGACTAACCAAGCAGACTCCTCGAGGGTCCAACACAACCCACCTTCAGTCACAATGTGTTACATAGAAATCAGTCATCACAACCCATGGAAGTTGCACAACTTAAGCTAAGCATCTGAGGCAGCAGTTGAAAATAACAAGGACAAAAAAGACCTCAGCAGACAGACAACTTAAGAGCCAAATGCAACTGAACCAAGAAAATCTCCCAAGCGGTACAAAAAGTCTCCACCAAACTGATCCATGTCTTTAGGTTCATAGATTAAATCCCCCAGAAAAACACCAAAGATAAAGGAGACCTCCTACTCCAGGGACTGAGTGCAACTGGAGAGTTAGCACTTCACTATGGATAACAATGATTTAACTTTTAGCCAAGAGAAAACTAAGGCCTCTTACTTCAATCAGAAAGTGGCAAAGGAACCAAACTCAAAGGAATGTGGATCTTGTCATGAAGCATGGTCACAAACTCGCAGCAGAAACTGAAGCAAGTCAAACTGGAATCCTGCAGAGCAGTGGCAAATTCAAACCCTGAACGTGACTTGGAAACTGGGAAGGCTACAAAGGGCAATAAACTCGAACTAAGAAGGAAGGATAACACATGTTCCCAGCTTGGTGGACGAGGCCCTCCAGCTTGGGAACAAGACCCCAAAGTGGGTTAATCGGTAGCCAAGGCTCAGACAATTCTAAAGCAAAGTTTCCAGCACTGCCTAGAATATAGATGGCTCTCAAAAAATATATATATATATACATATCTTATGAAAAATGGAGGGTCTGCTGCACTAGAATACCAGACTATTTAGAGCAAATATTATTGGGAAAATATTCTACAGTGACGACGAATATCCTTTACAACACAAGCACAACATGCTTATCACAACCCTAATCTCATTTGCTCACTACAACACCTACAAAATTGGAGCTTATCATGCCTAACACAAAACACAAACCTTGAGGAATTTCAGTTGAGTTAGATGTGATCTGAAGTGTGAGGGGGATTTGTGAAGGTCAGCTAACCTCTCAAGGTCAACCTCACAAAATCTGTGCGTCAGACTCAAGTCCCGAAGTTCAGGGCACAGTGTTGTGATCACGACCAGTTTTGAGGCAGATACACAGTCTTCTTTCACCCTGGTGGTTAAAGACTGCCACTGAATTTGGAGTGTAAAATTGTATATCTATTTACAACACAAACTTTCATTCTAGGTTTGTTTGCACAAACATGCATGGATATGTGTGTGTGTGATGCATGTAATTACTTAAGTGTAGATACAGGAGGAGAGCTACGCTCGTGGTGTCCCGTCTACCCAGCACTTTTTGTCATATAACGCTTTGAAACTACTGATGGTTTTGGCCTCCACCACTTTCTCACCTAACTTGTTCCAACCGTCTACCACTCTGTGAAAGTGAATTTTCTTATATTTCTTCAGCATCTTTGTTTAGTTGAAATCTATGACCTCTGGTTCTTGAAGTTCCAGGTCTTATTTAATCTTCCCTATCGATTTTATCAATTCCTGTTACTATTTTGTACGTAGTGATCATATGACCTCTTTTTCTTCTGTCTTCTAGTTTTGGCATATTTAATGCCTCTAACCTCTCCTTGTAGCTCTTGCCCTTCAGTTCTGGGAGCCACTTAGTAGCATGTCTTTGCACCTTTTCCAGTTTGTTGATGTGCTTCTTAAGATATGAGCACCACACAACAGCTGCATATTCTAGCTTTGGCCTAACAAAAGTCGTGAACAATTTCTTTAGTATTTCGCCATCCATGTACTGTATTTAAAAGCAATTCCGAAGTTAGAAAGCGTGGCATAGGCTCCTCACACAACGTTCTTTATGTGGTCCTCAGTTGATAGTTTTCTATCTAAAACCACCCCTAGATCTCTTTCTTTATCACAATTCTTTAAGATTTCTCACATAATTTATAGGTTGTGTGGGGTCTATGTTTTCCTATTCCACATTCCATAATATAGCATTTATTCCTGGCATGGCATATATTATAGCATTTATTCATGGCATGGCATATATTATGCGTGTGTGTGTGTGTGTGTGTGTGTGTGTGTGTGTGTGTGTGTGTGTGTGTGTAATTACCTAAGTGTAGTTACAGGATGAGAGCTACGCTCGTGTGTGTGTGTGTGTGTGTGTGTGTGTGTGTGACTATCCAAGCGTAATTACAGCATGAGAGCAATGGTCGAGGTGTCCGGTTTTCTCGGTACATTGCTTTCTCACTAACTTGTTCCAACCATCTATCATTCTGTGTTTGTGTGCATAAAATATTTTGTTAATGCAGGTACTGCATTTGAGCATGCCAGATTATAAACCACACACATATACATATGTACAATTTGAAAGTTCACTAAAGAAAATGCATACCCATATTTAAATGAATTGAGCAAAGTGAAAAAAAAATATCAAAGCAAGAAATAATTACCATTTGAAGTAAACATGTCACACATACCAGAATAAAATTAAACTGCCATAATTAAATAATTCCATAATAGTTACAACTAAACTACAACCAACCTGTTGAGCTTAAATCTACTGGCATATTTTCGCAATCGGCCCATGAAACTATTGCGCCGAAGAGATTTGTTGCCAACTAAAACTTCTATTGCTTCTGTCACATTAGTACAGTTTCCAAGAGATCTCAAAGCAGGCAGATGTTTGAGCAAGAAGGCAACACCATACTGGCTAATTCCTGTTCCTAAAATGTCAACCTGTAAAATCATAACAAAATTAATATACAGCAACAGTGAAAGGCTTATAGAAACTAAATAACAAATAAACATTAATTCTTAGGCACGACAATACATGCAATTGTCAAGATACAAAAACTGTTCAGGTTGAAAGATTTCATGGCTTCTATATTGTGGAACCCAGGAAGCGGAACGATCATTCATGTACTGCTGAACTGTCGATTTTTAATGAAGTGAAAAATTAGGTAGAAAACCAGAGACCTACTTTTATAAATAATAAACATAGTCAAATCTTTTTTTTTTTAGAAAATACACATACTGGTACTGCAGTGTCACTTGAGATAAACACACATTTTGCGGTGCCACATCCCCTCACACCGACTGGACAAGCAGGCTAGAGTTGCCAAGTCGATGGCACCTGGAGTCTTGCCTAATCTTACAGGTGTGGGATGTAGGAATAGCTAATACTAGCCATCATAAATTTTCTAGTATTATCACTGTATTAAAGGCAAACCTCACTTATTAAAATAAGTCTTAAAACTGGTAAATTCAGGATCTTGATAGTAGCAAACGGCTATCAGGTTGCTGGGTGTTAAACTGCTGCTGGACATTGTCAACAAGAGGGCATCCCAGCCAGACACACTGAAGAATGATTCCAGCAGTCTATCTCAGAGACTACCAGAGGCTCATTGTGTTGCGGGTGATAATGACACTAAGAAGGTGAGGAACTCTGTTATTAAATTCATCATGTTACTAAATTGTGTAATGAAAGATGCTCTTCACAACTTGATAATGGTCCAGAATGGACCAAAATCTCACTTCCTTTATTTTATAATTTGTTTGTTGGGTGTCTAAATTTAGATTATTGGCTATTACAATGAATGAAGGACGGGTAAATACAGTTTAATACTGTTTTATATATATATATATATAGGGTTCTGAGCCTAGGTAAGGTAATGTCTGTTTCCAGAAATCATTTGGATAATGTTAAAGCTGTCAAATCTGTATGCAAAAAACATGTCATGAATAGTAAGAATCTTAAACCAAAAATCCAAAATACAGTACTCACCTAGTACTCACCTAGTTGTGTTTGCGGGGGTTGAGCTCTGGCTCTTTGGTCCCGCCTCTCAACCGTCAATCAACAGGTGTACAGATTTCTGAGCCTATCGGGCTCTGTCATATCTACACTTGAAACTGTGTATGGAGTGAGCCTCCACCACATCACCCCCTAATGCATTCCATTTGTCAACCACTCTGACACTAAAAAAGTTCTTTCTAATATCTCTGTGGCTCATTTGGGCACTCAGTTTCCACCTGTGTCCCCTTGTGCGTGTTCCCCTTGTGTTAAATAGACTGTCTTTGTCTACCCTATCAATCCCCTTCAGAATCTTGAATGTGGTGATCATGTTCCCCCTAACTCTTCTGTCTTCCAGCGAAGTGAGGTTTAATTCCCGTAGTCTCTCCTCGTAGTTCATACCTCTCAGCTCGGGTACTAGTCTGGTGGCAAACCTTTGAACCTTTTCCAGTTTAGTCTTATCCTTGACTAGATATGGACTCCATGCTGGGGCTGCATACTCCAGGATAGGCCTGACATATGTGGTATACAAAGTTCTGAATGATTCTTTACACAAGTTTCTGAATGCCGTTCGTATGTTGGCCAGCCTGGCATATGCCGCTGAAGTTTGAAACAAGTATTGAAGTATGTTTGAAACAAGGCAAATTGGCCACTGGGATTCATATATGTGTTAGCTTTAGTCACCTAAAGTTATTGCTCAGCTTTGTCATGATCTTGTTAAGCCCCATTTAGATTATGCAGTTAAGTTTTGGTCACCAGGCTATAGAATGGACATTAATTCACTGAACGTGTAGATAAAAGGATGACAAAGTTAATCCAATGAATTAGAAGCTTTTACACCTCTTTTTTAATCTTAGATGAGAGATTAAGAAAGTTTAATTTACATTCTCTAGAACATGTGAAGAGTAAGGGGGGGGGGGCACACAATAATAAACATACAAATGGATGAAAAGTTACAAGGGAGGAACTAATAAGATATTAAATAAATAAGCCCAAAATAGAACACAAAACAATGGATACAAAATGGACAAGATTCAGTAAAGACCTGGGTATATACTGGGTTGGAAATAAGACTGAATTCATGGAAATGATTTAGAAAATGTATAAAATCTTATCCTATGCTGGATGCTTTCTAGTGAATTTATATCTATTCTATATATTATTATTCTATATATTATGCTACTGGGTAGCATAATGGAAGTGGGATCATTGGATTGTTTCAAGCAAAGGTTAAACATATATGTGGGTGAGTTTGGGTAGAAATACATATAAGTAGAGAACTGTCAGGAGAAAGTGCCAAGCCATTACAACTACATAGCACTAAACTGGGTTAACAGTTTTTGGCAGGAACACCAAGAATGGTTACACTAAGACAAGAGTTTATGCAAACTATGGCAACAAGAGTCACTCGACATGATTTGCATACATGCTTTTGAATACATTCTCTAAGATGAACCCCATGAACGTTAACATCCATGTCCAAAGGCAAGCTGACCAACTTATCTGAGATATAGCAGCAGTCTCCTCAGAAACCATATGACATATAACTTAAGAGTGCGAGAGGAGAGAATAAGGTTGCCTCATCAGACCAAGACCAAAGTGTACCATCAAATTTAAAACTTATTTCCTGTATCTTTAAGCACAAGACAGTGAAAGTCAAAACCCCATTGGTGAAAATATTTTATAATAACTTAAATTTATCAAAATAAGAATCAATGAGATTACTGGAAAAAAATTGTAACAAACATGGAGTTAACCTCTTCTAGTGTGGAGCAGCAGGGGTTTAGGTGAAATGATCGCACCCTCAGTTCATGCAGGTGACGGCCTCTTCTGAGCACATGGTTGTCTGGAGAACGCAGACACAATGCCTTCAGTCCTGCATCTGTCACACCATAGCTGTCACGGAAGTAATATATATATATATATATATATACACAAGAGAATTGATATTCATGGGTGATACATTTGTAAGACGACCTCAAATGGTAAGACTGCTGTGTTACCTTATGGCTTATAGGGAAAAGAAAGGAAGAGAGATTTGTCTATACATGAATAGTAATTAATAAAATACAATACTGTGTATTGTTAGGTATTTGATGACCTTTCTACCCACATAAAAAAATTACACACTGCAGTTCCAATTTAACTATGAATGATCAGAAATCATTCATTCACTCCAAAACACTTAAAGCTCTCTCTGAGTGATGTTTGGCAACACTGAGTTGACAAATAACATATATTAACAAAGCACCTTCTACCTACCCTAGTACTCCTGGCAGGACAATGGTTGAAGGAAGGGAAAAGGGAGCTATTGAACTGCTGCCCAGAAAGGGGGCTGCATATATGCATATGCCATTGAGCTCCAAATAACAACATTTAAAGATGAAAACAAGTTAAATTAATTGTGAATTAATCACCACTTGCATAACAGATTGTCATACAGTCAGGAAGATAGTACAGTTGTTTGGTTCTTATAACCCTGAAGTATACATGGGGCTGCCACCTGGTGGTGGGTGGTGTCAGTAACCAGGCAGGCAAATGAGAAGTTAGCAACAGCCCTCTACTGGTGGTCACTTGTAACGCCAAGAGAGGGCTTGGAAAGGCTTCGAAATTTATGAAATGCCACTCAATCGGTCATACTTGGGTGATCTCCAGTGACTGTGTAATACCGTCTCATGATCAAGCCGGGATGACAAAGTTTTTGTGTGGTACTCATACCAGAATGTCATCCTGTTTAACTGTTGATAATCCTGGACATATGATCATAGTTCAAAACAAAGTTAAAATGTTTTGAGCGCACAACTTTCTGGAATAAAACTTCAAACTGAGACTACTAGGAGTATGTACGTTCTCATTCACCTGGACTGTCTTTTTATCATTAGGTGATAGAAAATATGCCCAACCATTTTTGTCCTGCCTGGGATTCCCGATTGTGAGTTGAGAATGAACCAAACTGCACTGCCGAGACCCCTATTTGTTAAAATCCACAATTCCTAATGGATTTTCTAATCACAAAAATTTATAGCCACAAACGTATTGCAGATACAGTACCTGTAGCATATCCTCAGTTCCTTCAGCTTTGGTGCGTACTGGCCCAGTGCTGCCAGAATATCATTATTGGCACCATGCATCACATGTAGAGTTGACAGCTGTGTTAAAGATGACAGTCCAGACACCAAGGGACATGGCACTGCTGCCTAGAGTAGGAAGATAATATACTGAATTTATAATGTAAATGTGGCACCTTTTATCTTTCTTAGCTACAGGTATATTTAAGTTATAATTAGATTGAGACGAAACAGCAACCAACATATTCCTTTAAACTAAACTTTTTGTATGCTAAAGACACTTATCACACTAGCATAAAATGCTAAAGATGAAGTAAAGAAAGCAAATTTTTTTTTTAAGTATGGAAGGCAAGGAAATCCAAGACAAATCTTGAAAGTTTTTTAAGATGTATCCAACCTTGGTTAGAGAGAGGAATGAATCACTGACTAGTGTCACATTATCTTACAGATAATGAAGAAATAAATAGGATTATAAACCGACATTTTAGTCAAGTGTTTACTAGAGAAAAACTTGTTCATTTGCTCAAAGGTAAACACAATATAGAGCAACTAAAAACAGGTAAACCATTAATTACTAGCAGAGAAACTTGAAAATAAAGAGAAAAGGTGAAGTCATGCAAAGCACTAAGACCCTGAAAAAGAAATTTTTAGGGTATTACAAGAATGTAAAAAATAACTGATTCAACATTTTTCAAGCACATGCAATAAATCATAGACTTGAGCACTGTTTCAGAAATGTGGAAGGTTACAAATGTAGAACCAATTTGAAATAAAGATAGATCACTGGCTTGTAACCATTATTCAACTAAGTGTAACATTAACTCTGCAAAAATTACTTGAAGTGATAACTACAAATGTCATTAATACTCGTCTTAAAAAAACAGAGTTGAAAGTAATGAAACGCCATTTTCTGGGTGAGACCCAGAGGCTCCCAGGAGCTATTGGCTAATGTGTGATACAGTATACTATACCGGGGCATTAGTCTATGGAGTTTAACCTACTGGGACCACGACCCAGAACCTGGCCCCCCTCAGAGAGGTTGTAGGGAGCAATGGCCTTGGAAAACCCCACTGTGGTTGGGTTCTTCCTTATTTGACAGAATATGATAAGACTGCTATAGGTAAGACTGGGGTTAGGCACCCCAGGAAGGAAGGTATCACAAAACAAACCCCAACATGGCAAGAAAATTACAAAGAAAAACCGAACAGAGTGGCAGAACTCCCTCCAGTCCCAAGGAAACAAGTAAACAAGCAAACATCACACTCTACTGCCAGGCCGCTCGTCCGCAGACCCCCTCCCTTCCCTGTGCTGGCTATCCAGCACTCCAGTTCCAGAAAATGGCATTTCATTACATTCAACGCTGGTTTTCTGTGGGGAGTCCCTTCAGCTCCCTGGAGCTAACCAAAGGGAAGGAAAAGAGGGACTTACCCAGGAGGCGGCTGCCACACACTCCTCAATGTGAAGTAAGACAATTGGCTGCAACCTGCGACCCAAAGCAACACAGGAACACCCAGGTGCCAGATTCAAGCCAAGAGGAAGGCAACGAAAGCTGTATGCTGGACACCCCACCGCGAAACCTAGCCAGTTTCCGAACCCTAGATGAATAGGGACGTGCCAATACACTGTACAAGTCTTTGAAGTCCAGGGGACACCATCTAAGTACCCAGTTCAAACAGAAGCCGGACCTGAGACAGAGTGGTCATCCGAAAGGTGGAGCAAGGAATCCAGGGGATCAGATGGGACAAGTCCAGAATGAACCGCAAATCCGCGCAGTCCCGTTTCTGCGCTGGAAACAGGCATGAAAACCACCTAAGGGATGGGGTCATTGCCCAAGTGCACCCACTCCGAGATGACCTGACGAAGCCCAGGGAAAGAAGCCTGCCCTGTCAGCCCCGAACTCCCCGACGGAGGAGGAGCCACCCAATGCCACCAGAGGCCGGATGAAAACCTGACTAAAAATGACGACCAAAAATGCCCACAAACTGTGGGACTAGGCACGAGCAAACAGAGTGAGCCTCCTCCCCATCACCACGTCAACAGGGCGAACTGCGAAAGGGCCGACGCCCTTTACGAGAAGCCGGCCGAAGAACCAGGAAAGGGAACCCTAACACGCAAGGGCAGTACTCACAGGGCGTCTAGGGAAGGATGCCCCTAAATCCCTAAATGCATGCAGCCCTGGTACTGATGAGGACACCTGGCTACAACACACAACACTGCAGGGGTCGCCACGAAGGTATAACACCGCCTTTGGGATTTGAGGCCAGAGAAGACGTCCGCTCCGGACCACATTAGCTAATGAACAGAAGTACTGGGTAGCCAGCGTGGGGAGGGAGGGCTGCTAGGATGAGCGGCATGGTAATGGAGTGTGACGTTTGTTTGTTTGCTTGTTTCCTTGGAACTGGAGGGAGTTCTGTCTCTCTGTTCGGTTTTTCTTTGTAATTTTCTTACCATGTGGGGGTTTGTTTTGTGATGCCAACCTTTCTGGGTGCCTAACCCCGGTCGATGGCAAATAAGGGAAACCCTCAACCATGGGGAGGAGGGGGTTACCAGGGCCATTGCTCCCTGCAGCCTCTTTGAGAGGGCCAGGTTCTGGCTCCTGGTCCCCGATAGGTCGAACTCCATAGACTAATGCCCCGGTCTAATATATCACACATTAGCCCAATAGCTCCAGGGAGCCGAAGGGGCTCCCCACAGAAAACATATTTTTTTGTGGCTTACAACATAGACTTTACAAAACACTGATCAAGTCTGACAAGCATAATCTCATACTTTGCAAACACACTTTAAGTAGATAGTAGTAAAGATTAGTATATTATATACCTAAGCACTGATAAGGAAAGTAGAGTTACATGACATTAGAGGGGACTTCCTAAACATAATTCAGTGTGATAATTGCAGTAGAAACAGGATCAGACGAGAGAGATACCACACAATATATATGTGGGAAATACTGGAAGGCTGGGTCCTAAATCTCTACAGTAAAATAACAACATACAATACTGGAGTAAACGATATGGTGGGAAATACAGAATAGAGCCAGTAAAGGGTAGAGGTGACATAGGCACAATAATCTCTCAGCAAGCGTAAAAAATATTGCTAGAATAAAGTGGACTTCATCAAGTATGTCCTTAAAATATCACCTGTATGGGAACTTGAAAACAGAGGATACAGTATGTTTTGTCCTTCTGTATTAGAAAATTTGAAACTGATGTGAAAACAAAACAAAAACAAACAAACCTTTGCAGCAGTTGCTGTTGCCATTTTTATTGTTTCTTCTTGGAAAAGCTTTGAGAAAGGAAAACTGGTTTCCCTGAGTAACTGATGTCTTCTGGGTAAAAGAGTGACGGAGGCAGCTGTTGGGTTATCCTTGTCCTCTGCTGCCAGACCATCTCCATATGGTTCCATCTGAAACCAAGGTAATACATTATTTACGAGGCCGGCTGTCATTTCTATATATTTTTCGATACATGATTTAGGAGGCCGATTGTCATTCCTATATTTTTCGATAGTAGCCAATCTAAGGTAAATCCTCGGTCCTTTATACCAGGCATGTCTCAAAATATAAACAAGAGAGGGCCAAGTGGTGATCTTTGTGGGAACCTGCCTGACACTGCCTTCCATCCTCCCTGTACCTCTCTCTCATGGTTACTCTAGAATTTGTTTACCATCAGAAAGTTTGTATCTAATTAAACACATTATTTCAGCATGTTTTTTCCTTCTTTTACATCAGTCTTTATCCTTATGAAAGTCGAAGATGCAGTCAACTCATCCCTCCCCTTCCTATCTGATTTTCAATTAGCTTTGTTAAACATCACACACAGAGATCACACTAACGTGATGCATCAAATGAACAAATCAATTTGAACAGATTTGTTCATTTGTTAAACATAATTTGCCTTTCCTGCCCCTACCCTATGTTACTTCTCTGTCATGAATTCTATTTTGTGATGTGACAAGTGATGTTGAAGGTATCGAGAGGGGAGCAGTAAGGGAAGAATGTTGGGTGATAAGCCTCACCTGATTTAGTAAGGGAAGAATGTTGGGTGATAAGCCTCACCTGATTTAGTAAGGGAAGAATGTTTGGTGATAAGCCTCACCTGATTTAGTAAGGGAAGAATGTTTGGTGATAAGCCTCACCTGATTTAGTAAGGGAAGAATGTTCGGTGATAAGCCTCACCTGATTTAGTAAGGGAAGAATGTTTGGTGATAAGCCTCACCTGATTTAGTATGACTTTCAGTGATGTCAGGTTAGGACAACAATCGCCAACCACAGTCAACAACTGTCTGGGCAACACCTGTTCCCCACAGTCTATCGTTGTTACGCTAATGTCAAGCACCGCCTGAAAAATGAAACCATTAAACCACACACGCAACTCTTCTATTCACACATTAATAGTTTCAATGTAATTTTAATAACATATTACTCCATTAATAAAGTGATTACCAGACTCAGGCTCAAAGCCCAGTGCAAGAAGCTTAAGGTTTAGCAGCACCATACAGTGTACTCGAGTGCACTTTCTGTGAAAAGTGAATAATAAATTTTAGGATGTATGAATACAAACCAATTCTTAACAACCAAATAAATAATTTCTTCACCACTTGTAGCTAAATTTTTCCTCTCATTAAGACTTCAGTTAGAAACATTGCAACTGAATACTAAATCCACACATTAACGACAGCTGTACCATTTAATGGGAACTAGAGTGCAAAAGTAGGGAACAAAAACAAATCAGTTGCAGCACTCTGTTGATCACTTGCTCTCAAACATGCACACATGTACACATTAACATGCACAGGAAGTGATGTGGTGGAGGCTGACTCCATTCACAGTTTCAAGTGTAGATATGATAGAGCCCAGTAGGCTCAGGAATCTGTACACCAGTTGATTGACGGTTGAGAGGCGGGACCAAAGAGCCAAAGCTCAACCCCCGCAAGCACAATTAGGTGAGTACATGTACACATTAACTCATCCCCAGCTTCTCTCATAGCTGATAATGAAGTGGTAGCAAGATTAGCTATGGTAAAACTTTAATCTGTTTGTCTAGTATGAAAGAGACAATAATGACAATATGTTATTTGAGTCTAATAGAAGTAATTCACACATGAGTTCTTAAAGGTTATTACATCTAGAAATGATTATTATTCTCTAATATCTTTTTAACACTATGAAGGGTACTTCCTTTCACATAACACTAACTCTCTCCCTTGTTATCAATCAGCATAAACACCTCCAGATTATTTAAGTACGTTCTTAACAAAGTTTCACAACCCTGACTGTCTTGGTGGTGGAATCTTCTCTTCACTATGTGTCCCTACCTTTACCCTAACTAGCTAAGATAGTAAGAAAACACCACCATCAAAGCCTCTACTGAACTCCCCTGAACCACTATTATGTTACACAATAGATGTATGAATACATTACATAAGTGTTCTAAAACATCCTAAAACTAACCTGACATGACCTTTTATTGTATTAATATTCTAGGTGATATAAACATGACTCGTGTAACTCAGTCAAGTAGAAATTTGCATAAGCACAAGAGGCTTCATTCAATATACAGTGGCACCTCGACTTACGATTGCCCTGACTTACGATAGTGTCGTCGACTAACGATATTTGTTGATACACGTTCGGGTCGACCGAGCGCATGGTTCCCGGTTACGCGGGGCCAACCTGCCTCAGTTTACTAAAGCCGCCTCCTTAGTGACAATCACACTTATAAGAAATTCTATTTGTTTGGTGATTTTTTGCTTTTTGAACATAAAACTGATTATTTATCACCCCATGGGTTCCGAGAAAGTCAGTGGTAAGGTTCAACATATGAAAACACATGCAAGGGTGACCATAGAGGCAGTACAGAATATCCCTTCCTCAAAAATTAAGAAAATGTGTGTAGCATGAGAAGAACTGTAAACTTTAGCTGAAACGACTCGCCCAAATCAAGCTGCAATAGGCCGTTGCTGTAACCTCTTCAATGACACTGTGATGCATCACTACAGACAAATGTTAAAATGAAAGGAAAAAACCAGCGTTGAATGTAATGAAATGCCATTTTCCCAGAGCAGGCCCCCGTTGGCAGGGTCCAACGGGGCCCAAGGCCCCCAAGCCAACCCCTCCCCAACCCCGGGAACCTCACCCTGAGGACCCGGGGCCGAGTCGGCCTCCAAACTCCCCACCTCCAAAGAAAAGGCGAGAGCCGCCGAAAAAGCAGGAACGAATGCCGCCCACTGGCCAGACCCAGAAGCTTCTGCAGAAGAATCAGGCTCGAATGCCTCTGCCGCAATCCCAGAAGGGGACACCCCCGAGACCGCCCAAATCTCAACACCAACTAGACTCTGCCCCGACTCCGAAACCCTCAGACGCTTCGGAGCCAGAAACAAAGGGAGGGGATCGAATGAACTACCAACGGGGAAGGACTAGGAGGGGCAGACGGAACCAGAGCCGAAGCGACTCCCACCCCCAAGTCCGGGTCTCTATAACTAAAACGGGGCAGTCAAGGAGCATTCGGGGTCGCAACCGAGTGCGTTGCAGCAACCTAAATCTAGCATGCAACACCTTAGCTGCCTGCACCCGCATATCATCATCAGTGGCTTGGGTGAACTAGAATACGAACAGACAACATACTTCGCACAACTCCGAGTCAAAACAATCACCGACCCAATAAGCAGCATGGCAGAGGCAAAACCGGTGAGTGTCACCCTGAGACAAGGGGACAGAGCAACCTTCAATCTTGCAAGAAGCGAGAGGGGACTCAGGGGTCACATCCATCGGACCACGTAGCCCCCGTGAGGTTTCCCAGGGCCCTTAGCCTCGGTAACATGCTAAGGGAAGCCCAGGCAGGGTACTGCGAACTGGCGCCCAAATCTACCAACAAACTAATGAAGCTGAACCCCCGGGACGTGTCCACTCACAGGGGGGCCAAGCGGGGAGGACCACCCAACACAAAAGGAGAGAGATATATACACCCCAAGAACAGCAATGGGGGATGACAACGGCAGACCCCCCCCCCCCCCCCACCAGGCAGAAAATAAAAACAAAAGAAAAACCCTGCAAGAGGATAGTGTACCCAGGCGGAACAGAGCCGGCTGCTGTTTATGGTGAAAACTAGTTGTGCAGTACCCTGCGTCCCTGCCAGTGACGAAAACTACCCCTACCCAGAGACAAACAAGGGCAACAAAACCCCAGCTGACCCCAAGGGCAGCCAAATACCGAGCAGTAAACGGCACAGCAGAGGTAGATCACGAGGTGACTTGTGGAAGGTGGCCCCAAGGGCAGTACTTACGGGGCACCTAGGGAAGGAGACCCTAGGTGCATGCAGCCCGAGTACCATGGAATATCACTCCCAGCTCACGCACCATCTGAAGGGACAGCCTACACCACAAGCTACAGAAATGCAACGAAAAACTGGAGCCAGAGACACGACGGCACCAGACTTCTATCAGCCAAGAACTATAGATTGGGTCGCTGGCGGATGGGTCTGGGGCTCCCCCTTCCACCCTTCTGGGGAGGGGGATTGTGCAGACAGCGGCACGACAACATGATGATGTCATGCTAGTTTGCTAATTTTTGTTTGAGGAGTTCTGTTCACCTGTTCGGCTTCCGGTCGCAATAATTTTACCAGAATAGGGGTTGTTTTGGGGCACCTACCTTTCTGGGTGCCTGTCCCGATCGATGGCAGACATAGAATGCTCCCAACCACAGGGAGGGGTCTCTATAGGCCATTGCTCCTCGTGCCTCTCTAGAGGGGGCCAGGTTCTGGCTCGTGGTCTCTAGTAGGCAAGAACTCCATGCATTGACTGATGTCAGACAGATATACATATCCATCCAGCTTGGATAGCTCTGGGGAGCCGACGGGGCTACCCCCAGAAACAAGTGTTGCTAGACAAACTAGCAGTGAACCACAACCAGGTCCTAGTGGTATGCAGACAAAACGTAGGAGAGAGAGCACCCCAGAGAAATCATCACTGCCTGATGTTATAATGGAAGGGGAACTCCCCTTCCAAACAGTAGCACCTCTCCTCCTGCCCTTCCTCACCATCTTCCATACGCCAACAGGAGTCATTAGTAAAGGTAAGTAATAACTTGTACATACTTTTGTAGTGAAGATTTGGGTGAATTAGATATAAAATTTACTTAAAAGTTAATTTTTTTGGGAGTCAGGAACGGATTAATTCATTTCCCTTTATTTCTTATAGGAAAAATCGTTTTGACTTACGATATTTCGACTTACTATACGTCTCTGGGAACAGATTACCATCGTAAATCGAGGCCCCATTGTATCTGACAGAAAACGGCCAACTGGAATATTCTTATCAGAGCATGACCACCTAGAAAATTCTTATCTGAATATGGCCACTTGGAATATACCTAATACAGCATGGCCATCAGAAATATTTTTAGCAAAGTATGCCCCCCTGGAATACTTTTTACGGTAAAATGATGTACCGTCTAGGGAATGGAAATGTAATTTGATCTACATACAAAATGAATGAGATGACATGCATAACTCACCTTGAGAATGTCAAGCTTGGCATTTACCCACCGGTCAGGCTCCGAACTGGCAAAGAGACGACGTACTAAACGATCCCGCACCTGTTAATCGTTGAAATGTGCTATGTAACATTTGTAGTAATAATACAGTATCAAATAAAACGTGCAAATGTATTCTCCTCCTGTTCTTAAGCACTAAAACCATAAAAATTTTTCTGAGCTTTGGAGCATGACTGATAAGACAAGAAAAGGCCACTCTTTTGCCACTAGAGCAATGCTTGATCATGCAAGCAATACTTGCTTCTGAACAGGGATATCAGTTGTTTGAGTAGTCAGTTTTATGTGTATTAGGAGATAAGAAGTATCAGTGGGATTAACTCTCCTTCCTAATGATATCTCTTGAAGGAGCCAATGGGAGTAGGACCCTTCCCGTGAAGAAATAAATTGTCTGGATTGATGGTAACATGAAGCTTTGACAAGGCATGCCAGTGCCTGCCAAAAACAGTCCTTCTACACTATGTCCTCAGGCAGCAAACATACAGTGCACAGACCTCTTGTACCCCCACCCATTGCTTCAGGGCATCTCAGTTTCATAGCACAGGCTGCAATTAGCTACAGGTGTAGCTTGGCCTTCTCAGGGGATTGCCCCTTCCATGTTGGCAAAGACAGTTCAGCCATTGCTTCACACCTGAGATCCATAACTTTCTGTTTCTCTTGGGAGAGTATTTGGCTAGGATCCTTTTAGTGTGCCTGGATGTTTAATTTCAGTGCCAGATGTTGGCTATGTTGCCTGTGGTGCAACTTTTGGAGTCTTTGCCCAAGGGGCAACCCCTTCTTTCTGGCGGTAGTTAAAGACTTTTCTTTGAATCATCTATCATGCTGATGTGCTGTGCTTGCCCAGGCTTTCTTTTCTCAGGTTCAAATCAAATCAAATCAAATATTTATTCAGGTAAAGTACATATATACTAGGTGAGATACAAAACATTGATAGATTTATAGATAGAGCTAGTACATACAAGGCCTAAAGCCACTATTATGCAAAGTGTTTTGGGCAGGTTGGAACCTCACTTCTTGTTGGTCAAGGTAGACTTCCCTTCGGGCCAGTTTCTTGGAGCCAGCTTCTGCTCCCACATTGCAGGTTTTTTCTGGGTAGTCTTCCTAGACCTGTGGTGATGTTGGTTCTCGGTCCCTCCTCCAGTTTTGGGGCTCTTGGGTCTATTTCTTCTCTGTAACTCTTTTTCAGTCATTACACCTTGGGTGGACTCTGGTTGGTAGGTTTCACCCTTTTCTTTGCTGGATGTCCTCATTATTTGCCATCCCTTTGGTAAGACTCTTTAGCTCTACGGTATGTTCTGTCTTAGGTTTGATTTTTTTCTTCTGGTTCCAACCTTTTCCGTGACTGCTGTAGCTCAGGTCCGCCTGGTATAGCAGGAAGCTTTTCCTGGTTAGTGTCCCTGGCCCTATATGACACTGTAACGTACGATTATGTTATGTTGTTGAGTAGATTAGATACACAGTGGTTAGTGGGTTTTCATATTTATTTAGTAGTCTAGGATACAGCAGTGTCAGAGACGTTGAGACAGATCTGGAGTAGAGCAGAGAGCTGAGTGAGGACGGAATCGCGGAGCTATATGTGGGAGAGCGTGGCGGCTCGATGAGGAATCGTAAGTGTCTAAACTTGATAGGGAGCGAAAGCGTTGTAGTTTGATGCAGTCCTAGTCTGCTGTCTACTCTGTGTCTAAGCTGTAGCATCTTGGGGTCGATTAGAACTGCATGCGCTGAGTGCTACATTCTTGACGGTAGAAATTGTACTGTTGGCTATTCTCATATCGCTGGCTTATATTTGATGACTACACCTCAGCTTCCTCCACTAGGATAGGAGGATGGAAGAACTGTTTCCTGTAATTAGGGAAGAGATTATAGCTTCTGCAATTAGTGCTAATTAGTTACACCATTAAGCTAATGAGAAGTTGGAGTATATTGTTTGTACTCGCTACAACACATTCTGACACATCCTATTTCTTCTGAGGTACAAGGACTGATCAGGGCTTGTTGTGGAACTTCTGGCTTCCACCTTTCAAGTTCTCCTTTTTAGCACAATTCTGGCTCCTCGGTTCTGCCCAGGTTAGTAGCTTCCCAGGTGGTTATTTACTCGGTAGCATCTTGTAGATGTCCATGTTTTAGCTTATCTCGATGACTGGCTGGTTTGGGCTCCCAACCAGTCTACGTGAATACAAGCCGGGTATGTTCATTTTCCAGCTCGTGGCATTTTTGTTTCTAGTGATGTGGAGGAAGTCCTAGTTGGCTCCATCCTAGTTCAGACGTGGTTGGTCTGGGAATCTTGTTTGGTCGATTTCCCTTTCCTAGCTAGCAGTGACTCTTGCTAAACCTGCGGTTCAATTTCATCTGGTAGTGGAGAGGCCATGGATTACTCAGCAGTTAGTCGAGCAGTTGTGAAGGAACCTGAACTTTGTCTGTGTGGTGTTCTCCAAGGGCAGGGTGTGGTTCAGGCATTGTTCTGGTTCCTTCAGTTCCATCCTATTCGCTACTATTGGGATCGTCAGATGTGACCTAAGTCTGCCTTACCTGTTTCTTATTGGACTTTCCGGGTTTGGTTCTGTTACAACTTACTTCTCCATTGCTCATTGTGTTTACTGATACCTTGACCCTGAGTTGGAGCTTTGTGACTAGCAGTCATGACTTCCCAGGATGTTGAGCAGGTTTCCTACTTTGAGCGCACAGTATAGTCCATGAGTTCATTGCGGATCGTCCCCCCTCCAGGCTCTGTCCCTCTCCAATCTCCGTCCTCCTGCTCCATTTCAACTGTCCCCATTATTTGAATTGTGGGAGTCATTTTGGTCCTTTCCTCTTTGGGGCTGAACTCTTGCCAGGAGCTCATCATCTCACTTTTCGAGGTTTGGTTCTGTGTGGAGTTGTGTAGTTCTCTTGTGTGAGGTGTGTCTCCTATTCCTGTGGATGGTCTTGCTTATTTGGCCCATTACCATGGATTGAATTGCCAACAATGTGTTGGCAGTTCCATTGGCTCTGAGACGTTCGAGCTCCCCCAAACTGGATCTCTTCGTGTTAGCATGGAACTAGCAGTTTCCCTCCAATGTGGCTCCATTACCCAATTGCGAGACTCTTGTGGTGAATACCTTTCATTTGTTACAGTCAAGGTGGGGGTTCATTTCTTCCCTCCAGTTAGGCTGTTGCTCTGGATTTTGTCCAGACTGGAGACTTTCACTGGTGGGGTGAAGCTTCTGGCTTCTTGGTGGCATGGCTTGCTCAACCATCGTTTCCAGCTGTTTTGGCTCAGTGTCTGAATCTGGGTAACTTTCCCTGGCTCTGCCTCGTTCAGCAGATCAGTCCAGAGATCTTCCTAACTAGTTGGAGGTTCTCCTCTGCTCTTGGTGTGTGGAGTCTCTGACTCTGGTCTATAACTATCTAATTGGTACACAGGTGGCTGACCTCTTGCTTTGTTGTCTTTTCTTTTGTTATAGAGGCACTATGAGATAAGGTTTCTGATGCTCTTTTGCCTTTTCATCTCTCTTCATTGTCTTGTTTGCTTGTTAATCATCATCTTATGCCAAATACTGTCACTCCTTATCATTTGGCATTGGCACAGCTGCTTTTGTTGGTTTTGTAATGTACTTGTTATCCCCCACAACTCTTCATACAATGATCATTACATTTTGTCATGATACCCTAAATGTTCCCTGTATTTTTGCCCGTTTTACCACAAATGACGCTATGACATAAATATAACTGTTAAATCTTCTACCTGATCATTGAGAATGCCTGGAAGAATCGCCAGTCTGGATGATACCAATTTTTTCAGCTGGTCGGGAGACGTGACTGGAAGAGAAGATAAAACAATGGAATGGCGGAGATCTGTGCTGAGAAGGTGTGCCAAGTGAAGGTCTGCAACCACTGATGCAAGAACAACTCGAAGACTCAGCTCCTCCAGAGATTCAATGTGGTGTCTCTTCCTTGGAGCCATCTGAAAACAGGAATGATTTTTAAATACAGTACAGATAGTTATGAATTACTCAATGAGTTAATTGGTCTCAGTGCCTTCCATTGTAACAAGACAAATAGTTTAATTATTTTTGTGCCACAACTGATGTCATTAGCACAAATGATAAAATATATATATTAAAGCTTAATGCAGATTTTTATATTAAAATCACATGGTTAAAACAAATAATTTTTATTTGTTTTTATTTGTGTGATTTTGGTTAGTTCCGTGACTAATGAGTCATGGAACTAACCAGACATTGTATACCAGTAGGTAAAGATGTCAGCAGCAGAAGTTGATATAAAGTAAAATACTCAACCCCCTGCACTCTAGCCCATTCAGCTAGGAGGTGGGAGAAGAGCTCCTGGCAAGCAAGGAACTTAACATCTGTCACAAGTTGTTAAGCCATCTGAACTGGGAACCAAATCAAAGATGGGTCAAACAGAAACCATGCTGTCTCATCACTCAACACCTCTAGCTGAACCTCATCCTTCTATACCAGAGAAGAAAAGGGGCCAATTGCTGACTCCTACCTAGAAGCAAAATCCCAACCCAGGACAGTGGCAAAAGAAGGAAGCTGCTCAAAAGGACCCCGACTCTGAATGGGGTGGAAAAAAAAACTATTCCCCTCCCCACACTTAAATTCAGGGGAGGTTATCTTGGTTATCTATAAGTGGATGATTCTGGCTGGGGCTCTCGAACAAATTCTCCTGGGTTTAAGAACAGATAACTTTGATTCCAAACTCCATCAAGCACCTGTGTGAGCACACTAAAGTTGTTTTGCCCCAATACCATACCTGTAATAAGCCTCCACAAGAGCCCAGATATAGGAAAGAGGCAACACCCTTTCCACCCTCGAACCTAAACTTGAAAGTTGACTTGGTCAGAATCCTTCTGACTCAATCTGGCCACACCATTCTCCAAAAAAGACAAGGAAGCCAACAATGAAACCCTATCAGCTGAGAACTGGAAACTCCAGTGCTGATATTTCAGTATACAAGTCCTCAGTTTAGCCACAGCCTCATACTCAAGCTGCCAAAGTCTGGGGTTCGAGCAGAGTACCAGCAAATGTCCAACAGATAGTATGTATATCACAAATTATTGACCTACATGATGAATATATTTGTAACAAATTTGCTCAGGGTAAACCTAATAAGAAAAATAGGGATAAGTTTCAGAAAAAAAAAATAGCATTAATTGTAATGAAACTCTTCGTTCTGGAGGAGCCCCAGTGGCTCCCTGAACCTATCTTGCTGAATTGTCACATACTAAAGGGTCACATCAGTTGCGGATTATCACCCATTCCCTGCATCTCTGTGAGGGGTGAACAGAACTTCCACAAGAAGACTGGTATGGTGATTTGTATTAAGGGTGTGAATGCCGAGACCCTCCCCCCCCCCCCCAAGTCCGATGAGAAGGTAGGCTTGGTTTCCAATGTACAGTAGTTCATTGCAAGAGAGGTTAGGGTTTCTTTTAACAGTGATTTCAGCAAGCAGTCAGGCATCTGGTAATCAGGTAAAGAGCTTCCTGACCATCAATATCTTCAGTCCTTTCATCTGTCCTTTGCCGGCCAGCAATCTTTTTAATATGGACCTTGTCAATGGCCTTGGACCCAAGACGAGCTCTTATAGGAGTGGACTGTCACCAGGTTTGGTTACATGGATATTCTTTATTTGATGTTACTGTATATCACTCTTAGAAGGGTCAGGGTGAAGCCTAGATTCACTCCATGCTCCTGAATTATTCTGATATCCTACAGGAGGGAGTCTTGGGAACCAATTAGGATACCATCTTCCATGAACCTGATGTTAGATACTGTATGTTAGATACGGTATAATTAGATCGCTGCCCTTGTCACCTTATCACAAATTTGAGGCAATAAACCTACAACTACAGAATACTACATAAGTTAATTACTCGGCCTTTAAATTTTAGAAAATTGGGAGGGTTCAGTGTATTTTTTGTTACAGGCCTAGGTATACACAGCAATGTGCTGTTACCCTATTCTATATGATGGATTAAAATGCTTATTTCATTTTCATTTAGCAATAAAGGAAAGAGAAGGCTGTAAGCAAAGAGCAAAACTCCAGCTTCCAGAGGAGAGTATGAAGCTCTCCAACCCAACAACCGGAAATGAGGGCCAACAAAAACAAAGCCTTGAAGAAACAACGCCGGACTGAAGGGGTTATCTTGAGATGATTTCGGGGCTTTTAGTGTCCCCGCGGCCCGGTCCTCGACCAGGCCTCCACCCCCAGGAAGCAGCCCGTGACAGCTGACTAACACCCAGGTACCTATTTACTGCTAGGTAACAGGTGCATAGGGTGAAAGAAACTTTGCCCATTGTTTCTCACCGGCACCTGGGATCGAACCCAGGACCACAGGATCACAAGTCCAGTGTGCTGTCCACTCGGCCGACCGGCTCCAAAAAACAAAAGGGGTAAAAGAACTAGTGGCAGAACAAAGAGGAATAAGTTATGAGTAAAGGTAAAGAGAACTAAATCTTACAAACCTGGAGAGGAGAGAAAAACAAGAGGGGATATGACTACAACATACAAGATGCTGAAGGGAGCACACGAGATGAACAAGGAAAGCCTTTTTAAATTGAGAGAAACTAGAGAATGTAGGTATTAGTTGGAAATGTAAAATGAGTGGAAGAAATTTTGGAAAATACTCATACCCTTTATGGATGGCCAGCAAGTGGAATGAACTGAAAGTAGTAGTTATGAAAACCACCTTCATCCACAAATTTAAGGCCAGATTCAACAAAGAATTCATAAATCAAAAGAGTTAAATAATACTACAACAGGAACCACCAGGCTATTAGGTTGGGGATAAAGAGCTAGACCTCACTTCCCAAAATTCACTAATAGGTAAGCACCAAATACACAAACTCATGCCCAGCCTACACACATCTCCACCCAACACACTTGCTCACTCCTCTAGGGATGCAAGTCACATCATACACAAGACAGTGCAAGAGTGGATAAAGGAACTAGCATAACTTTACCCAATCTAACTAAATTCAACCCAACCCAACCTAGCCTAACATAACCCAACCCAACCTAGCCTAACATAACCCAACTCAACCAAACCTAACATAACCCAACTCAACCTAGCCTAACATAATCCAACCCAACCTAGCCTAACAACCCAACCCAGCCTAACATAACCTAACCTAACATAACCAAACCCAACCTAGCCTAACATAACATAACCCAACCTAACCTAACATAACCCAACCCAACCTAGCCTAACATAACCCAACCCAACCTAACCTAACATAACCCAACTCAACCTAACCTAACATAACCCAACTCAACCTAACCTAACATAACCGAACACAATCTAGCCTAACATAATCCAACCCAACCTAGCCTAACATAATCCAACCTAGCCTAATATAACCTAACCTCACCTAACATAACCCAACCCAAACTAGCCTAACATAACCCAACCCAACCTAACCCAAACCAACCCAGCCTAACATAACCCAACCCAGCCTAACATAACCCAACCCAGTCTAACATAACCCAACCCAGTCTAGCATAACCCAACCACCCAACCTAGGGTAATATAACTCAAACCAACCTAGCCTAACATAACCCAATCCAGTCTAACATAACCCAACCCAACCTAGCCTAACATAACCCAACCAAAACAAGGTTAACATATTAAGTAAAGTTCAGTACTGTAACGTAAACAATTGAGTGTTGCACCGAAGACTCGTCTCAGTGACAGGTCTATCTGGTGTTGTTGTTTCAATCATCAATCACCCCACGCTGGTCACGGATCTCACATCTGGCACCAACGTGGGGCCGTTGTCTTTTCACTGTGCGTTACTGCTACTTGCTGCAGTCTTGTCGAGCTGCCATTGCATCTGGAGTGGTTGCCCACTATTGTTAGGAGTAGTTAGGGTCAGCATTACTGCATGCGGTCCGAACTGGAAGCAGTTATTCCGTTTAGCCTAGCTTTGTCAAGCACCACGACAGACATTAACGTAACGTCAGATGATTCCTGCCACGTATCGTTAGTATTAAGTTTTATGAATAAACTAATTGTTGAACTACAAGCGCCTTTATGTTCACACCTTCAAAACCCTTGTACCCAGTATCGACTTTGCCATTATTACTGTTATAAATGTGATCCCTTTCATGTTGCCTGGATTACTTGGATTTGAACTGCATTCATGGCCGTACACACCAAATAAATTCTATTTGATGTGAGGATCTTATGAGCTACTCTGATGACCTCCCTCTGAGGTCCCAGAAGCTCCACAACCCAGTGGATAAGGAGTGCCAAGGATTTGGACTCCTACAGCTGCTCTATGCATCCCTAGTCAGTCATTAAAGTATAATCATCCCTCAGCATATGTTTGATGCTAGTTCAGTCCTTTCCTGACTGAGGTTTCTTGTAACCTATTCACCTCTAAAAAGGATAATCTCACACCAACTTAGCCTAACATAACCCAACCCAACCTAGCCTAGCATAACCCAAGCTGGCCTAACATAACCCAACCTAACCTAGCCTAAAATACCCCAACCCAATCCAAATTAACCCAACTAAGCCTAGCACAGTAACATAATAGATCCTACCTTAAGCCAATACATCCTAAGTTAATACATCATAACCGAACAAAACACCGTATATAGTTTTGACAATCAGAAAATGAGCAGTGTGGAAATGTGTGTAAGATTGGACCACATCCTGGCCACACGACCACCACCACCACCACACCCCAGCCACACCATTACCACACCCCGGCCACACGACCACCATCACACCCCGGCCACACGACCACCGCCACACGACCACCACCACAACCTGGCCACACCACTACTACCACAACCCGGCCACACAACCACCATCACACCCCAGCCACACGACCACGACCACACCCCAGCCACACGACCACCACCACACCCCGGCCACACAACCACCACCACACCCCGGCCACACGACCACCACCACACCCCGGCCACACGACCACCACCACACCCCGGCCACACGACCACCACCACCCCCCACCACACACCCCACACACCGGCCACACGACCACAACCACACCCCCCGGCCACACCCCGGCCACACGACCACAACCACACCCCGGCCACACGACCACGACCACACCCCGGCCACACGACCACCACCACTCCCCGGCCACACAACCACCACCACACCCCAACCACACCACCACCACCACACCCCAACCACACCACACCCCGGCCACACCACCACACCCCGGTCACAACCTGGCCACACCACCACCACCACAACCAGGCCACACCAACATCACCACACCCCGGCCACACCATCACCACCACAACCTGGCCACACCACCACCACACCCCGGCCACACCACCACCACCACCACAACTAGTCCACACCAACATCACCACACCCCGGCCACACCACCACCACCACACCGTCCAGCTGAGCAAATTATTGGCCTAGAGGGACCTCAATAAGCCGAATAGGCGTTCTGTTCCCGACTATGGGAAATTAGGAAAACCATTTCTGCAACGAATAGGATACTGCACTGCGTTTCAATTTAGGCACAAATATTGGGCAGGGGCATGAAAGGGAGTACAGATGTGGGTTTGCTGGACACACCTGTAATGAAGAAACGTGTCCCCAGGTGAGAGAAGGCACGTGGGGGGTCAAAATACGGTAAGCCAAGCCACCTCTCAATCTTCCACACCTCTTAGTATTTACATTGAGGCGGCGGTGTCCGGACACCTGGCCCAGGATACGAAATATTGCTCCTCTAACTTATCTCTCTTATTTTCTTTGATAAATGTACACAATTATTAGGCAGTTATATTATAATTAAGATCAGCACTTTTTAGTGGGCCTTATGTTCGAAATAAGTTACATAACACAATTTTCTTGGCTACTTACATTAGCTTTGTTTAAATTTTCGGACACAGACTAGGAAAATGTATTTCAATGATAGTTTATTTGCCATATCACGTGGAAAATATATACGTGCATAAACAGTTCTGTAAATAAATCCGCAAGAGAAAATAAATGTATAAGTTAATTTGTATTTATTATAACATGTACAAAAGTTTTAGTTTAGTTTAGTTCATTTATTATGCACCCCATACCCATCTTGTGGGTGGTAGTGGAAAGGGTTACAGAGGTACATAATGGGCTCAGGGACTGAACCCCACAATTCATTTAGCTAAGCAAGTTACAATCTTGATGAGCTAGTTACAAAATTTCAGTATAAGTCGTTACATCATAAATGGGTTTGAGATCGACCAAAAGTACAGTTTCTAAATTAAGCAACTGACATATGTGGAGAACTAGTGTCACAATTGATATGTTTGTCCTGCACACCGCCCCCCATCCAGTGGGCAGCGGTGGATAGGTTACAGTCACTCAGTTACTACCTACAGTTAGCAAACTGAGGATATTTGGCTAAAATTTCTTGTAGCAGATCATTATGAATGAAATATTTACACATCGTTGGAACATTGGTGTCTCTTTAGAACTGTCTCTAAATTCACGTATCTTTTCGCACTTCATCACATAGTGACGGAGGGTGTGCGAATAATTTTGTTGACACAGTTTATATTTGGTCAGGTCTACATCGGCAGATAATGAGAATTCCCAAAGATACTTGTAACCGAGTCTAAGACGAGCAGTAGTAACATCTTGAAGTCTGCTGATTTTATTGGATGATCCATAAATGTGTGGCTCCTCTTGCATGATAGTATGATGATAGATGGAATTACTGGTGTCAATTTCACTTTGCCTCAGATCTACAACCACCTTCTTGTTTCCTTGAACCTTGAAGTTCATGGTTCTCAGTTGAAGTTCTATTGCTCTCAGATTGCTCATTGACAATCCAAGGTTATACTCAATTTCTCCTTTAAATAATTTGTGTATATAATTTGTATTTGAGAGAGAGAGAGAGAGAGAGAGAGAGAGAGAGAGAGAGAGAGAGAGAGAGAGAGAGAGAGAGAGAGAGAGAGAGAGAGAGAGAGAGAGAGAGAGAGAGAGAGAGAGAGAGAGAGAGAGAGAGAGAGAGAGACAGAGAGAGAGAGAGAGAGAGAGAGAGAGAGAGAGAGAGAGAGAGAGAGAGAGAGAGAGAGAGAGAGAGAGAGAGAGAGAGAGAGAGAGAGAGAGAGAGAGAGAGAGAGAGTAAGGGACGGTGATAAGGATAAACATGTCAACTGTGACACCAGCTCGCCACATATGTCAGTTACTTGAATAAGAAACTGTACTTGTGGTCGGTCTCAACCCCATTGATGATGTGACAATGTGCATTTAATTTTGTAACTAGCTCATCAAGACTGTAACTTGCTTAGCTAAATTAATTGTGGGGTTCAGTCCCTGAGCCCATTATGTGTCTCTGTAACTCTTTCCACTACCACCCACAAGATGGGTATGGGATGCATAATAAATGAACTAAACTAAACAAATATACGCGTCACTGCTTGCGATGGATCAAGCACATGAAGGTCGAACATGGAACAAAAAATTGTAACATCCATTATCAACAGCATAATTCATACACAGAGCAAGAGTTTCAGTTTCATCTGTATGGATATCATCTCAAATAGACGTTGTCCGGCATGAAGACAGGACACGGAGGCTAAAGCTGCATGTGATAAGCCTGAAATTGAGCTAGACCTAGATATTACAATCTCCGGAGAAAGTTCAACACCGGGCAGCAAAAATAATTCCAGAACTAAGTCAACTCTCACATCAAGACAGGTTGAGGGTCACAAGGCTAACAACACTACAAACCAGACATAGGGCCATCATCGTAAACTTCAAAATACTAATTAATTTAGAGGTTGCTGAATCGGATAATTTCAAAATCTCAAATGTAACACAAACAAGGAGCAACGGTTTCCAGCTCAACAAGCCACAATTTAAGACTTAAAACAGGAAATGCTTTTTCACTTACAAGGTGAAAACCCATGGAATCGCCTACCCGCCGAAGCCACAAATGTCAAAACTCCGTGGAACTATAAAATCCCGCTTGAAAAAATCAGGACAAACGGGGAGGGGGGGGGGGAGGATCTTTGACAAGCCACCGGCTTCTTGTCCTCATCGAGGCCACTAGAAGGTCAATAGTGGCTCTCAGGTAAACTCAGCATCCGTCTCACATCAGAGGCCCTCCGAAATGCAATGGCTCTCCGCCTTGCTGGTCCAGTCGGGCACACTGAATATGGGTGTATTAATTTCCAGTGAGGCAGTGGCTGACAGATTCGGCCAGCATTACCTGTTTTGACAAGGCACAGTGAAGTTAATGACCATTAAAATGAGTCTTATCACAGCTGGACGTCCAGCAGAGAGCCCCATTATCTATTGCTCCATAACTGACATTCCTGTCGGTCACATAACACTTTAATTTTCTTTAGTTTATTTATAATACTTTACTTTAGTTATTTCACCATTTATAACATAACCAATCTCTGGTTATCACTGATACTGCCACCAAGCGAGTTGCAACGAATTATGACTAGCTTAAAGTTAACTTAAACCTACTTAACGCTGCCACCACCTTCATCTTTGCTGAAAATGATTACTTTACGGTCACCGACGGCGAAGAGTACTGTTCACGGAAGAGTTAAAGTTGTTAATTACTCTAGGGGGTGGCATGGGCACCGAACCCGGACATGCACTCACCTGTTGTGACCTATCCCGGAATATCTACACTGGCACAAGGGGGGGGGGGGGGGGTTGGAGAGAATACGGTCGACTCCCACTATTCACTGGCATCCAAGTAATTCTAAAGCACTTTTGATAGTTACGGGCGGGAGGAAGATGATGTAACATGTGATAATCGTATTCACAACTTAGGGAGATGTCCACAGGATACTTGGGCCTGCATGGAATGAATAAGCAGGAACGAATGAACACACCAGAGGGACAGTTTACTATTATTGTAACGTCCGAATACGTGTACGTGTTTCCTTAGTTAGCTACACTAAGTTTAGTGATTTTTCATATTTATTTTGTAGTTTTTGGTTACAGCAGTCGTTTGATGGCAGTGCCGTAGACGTTAAGACGAAGCCTGGAGCAGAGCAGAGCTGAGTGAGGCCTGGGCTCATCTTGGGATTATATACTGTGGGGCGGGGTTTTCGTCCAGAGAATCGAGGCTCTTGGGCCACCAGCTGTGGGAGCGGGGCGTCTCATCTTGGAGTAATCTTTCAAACATTGGGTCCTCTAACATTTCGATGGTGTTCCACACCCTGATGGCTTGGTGCTGCAGTCTGATGTTTAGTGGCTGTATGTTCAGGAGTTCGTGGAGCTCCTGGATTGTCTGATCATATGGTGGACGGTGTTTTGCTGCTCTCCTTAGCGCCTTATTTTGTACTGCTTGCAGTTTCTGCATGTTAGTTTTCTTTATGGTGTGTAGTGGTACTGGTGGATATTCTAGATGCGGCCGAACTAGAGCCTTATATAGGTGGATCTGAATGTTAGTACTGAGGCTTCGGAATCTTCTCAGTTTTCCTAATGCTGCTTTGGCTTTGTTTAGTCGGTCCCTTACATGAATTTGTATCCCTGTTCTATTTATCATAAGTCCCAGTATTCTGCCTACCTCC